AAAAACAGAGAGGCTGGATAAATAATGTAGTTGGAAAGGTGTTTTTATTCCTCAACAGGGTGATGCTGTGGCCAAGGTTTTTCTGGGTCAGAGGAACCTGCACAACCGGTATCTTCATACAAACTCCAGGTCCGTCTGTAACACAAGGAACGGGGCAGGCACATTAGGACTATAAAATGCCCTCTAACAGGCAAATGAAAGAGCCCTGAGGAAGAAGTGGCTGTAGCTACGTGCAGTGTGAATCAGCAGGAGTRACTTTGCACACCTTCATGAATCCACTACGTGCTAAATCTGTAAGAAAATCGTCACCGCCCCAGACATGGGCTCTGCCATGCTTGCACACGCAAAACTTTCCAACTTGCTGCTGTGGCTGTTGAGTGTGRTATCCTGCTCTGCTGCTGCTGATGGGGACGAGCCCAGCGTGGGCAAGAGGTCCTTGTCTCAGTATGAACCTGATTCTGAGGGTGCTCTTGACTCTTTGCAAGACACGAGGCTACATGTTTTCACCCTGGACTATGACTATGTGCAAATTCCGTATGAAGTTACTCTTTGGATTCTCCTTGCCTCTTTTGCCAAAATAGGTAAGAAAAAAATGGGATCTTGGGTCCTCCTAACTTGGAAAGAAGTTTAAAAAGTACAGTGTAACCAAGTAACGTCCTTGCATTTTGTAGCTGGGATTGATTTTACAGCGTCTGTCCTCTAAAGAACAGGTGTGTTCATTACCACAGCAATGCCAAAATTCCACCTGAGAATGATTCCATCTTAAGTTAACGTGTGACCTCTAACCCTCCTGTCTCTTGGGCTGTGAATGGCAAGCAGGAACAGAACTCCCTGGCACAGTGCTGTCCATTCATTTTCCTAGTCCTTATACATCACAAGATAGTGGAACTTGCAACCTGAAACAGCTGTAGAAATTAGTTACACCAGACTGAGATTTCAAATATATTGACTTTTGGGGGAAACATGTAAAGAATTCTTCATTTGTGTGAATAAGAGGAAACATTTCCCTCCGAGTCTTTTTTTGACGTATTTGCTCTTTAAAGTTGGTGTGAAAAGTAATACCAGAGGAGAGAGATTGAGAGTCTCTGAGGGTGTGGGTCATCAGAGATGTAGGGTAAGTACCTTTTGAGTACACACCAATGCATCTAGCTTCTATTAGAGCTCCATGTGGTTATCTGAATGGGGAAACAACTTGTGGAACAGTAATTGCAGTAGGGATAGCAAYTAACGCAGCAAAAAGGCGCATCATATCTTATGCATTTTCATGGCTGGGCTCAAATTATTTTGACCATTCAGAATTAATGGAGCAATATAAAATAAATGAAGAAGATGGTAATAATGGGAAGAGCTACACACATAAATTCTCACTTTTCTTTTGACATTTCCGTGGGATTTTCAAGTATTTCTATTGAACAGGCTGGTTGGTGAGACTATGTTTTTCTGGAGGTGACTGAAGGGAAACATTTTTCATGTCACAGTCACCCAACTGACAGAAATCATTAGCACTAGCCTTAATTTGCCAGTTGCATTATAGCTGATGCCCTCAACCCAATTCCTACAAATGTCTTCACTGCTAACATAACAATCAAAATTTTCACAAATAAAATTTGTGGCATCAGCAGAGTGTGCTAATAGCAAACATATGGACCAGATTCTTTATTTTTCATTCATAAAAGCACAGGACTTGTCATATGGCACATCTACTCAATATTCTTGTTTTGAGCAAGAAATAGATACTTTTGAAGAGCTTTGTGATGACTCACAGGTGGACCTGTTCCTTTTACTGTGAGTTTTCAAATAATATTATTTTTGATGAAAAGTGTGGAGCTGTTAATTTCAAATATACTTGGAAGGAAGAGTTAGTCTGAATAATCTGGTTACCCAGAGATGAAAGTTTCAAAAATCTTAGATAGATTTTTTAGTGTTTTATTGAAGTATTGTCTTCTTTCTGGATTTCAAGATTTCAGGGTGGGAAACAGTTTCAAGATCTTGAAAGGCAAAACAATCCCCTTATTCTGTCAAACTAGCAGAAGACTTGAAAATTAATTTTAAATTAAAAAGTAGATGAGTARAGTTATGATATTAACATACCTTTAGGTTTAAAAAAAAAACCAGTGTCCTAAATAAATTATCAGAAATGTCATAAAAATATTTTTATGTTCCTTTGTTTTTAAAGATTGATAATTCAAATGTCAGAGAAATACCATCATGGCATAACCTTCTAGAGTTACAAGATGAAGGCTGACCTAACTTCAGGCATGGAGTCCAGACACTGGATTTCAAGGTTTCTTAGACTGCCTCATTCTCATTCTTGTAAATGAAAATTTATGACAGTTTCTCGTATAGTGACTAGATGAGCCAGTAACAGGTGGGCAGTAAGGATTCTTGGCAATGTTTTCTTCCCAAATTGTGGGGGATCTTTTCAAAGAGGTTTCTGTCTTCTCAGAAGTGGAGCCTTAGCTCAGACACACATGCTCGGAAATCAGGAGCTGGGCAGCAGGAAGAGAAGAAATGAATGTTTAAACTCATGCCCTGCTTTAGTGATACAAGTGTGGGAACTGAAGGCAGCAGTACTGCCTGCTTTTACCTTCATTATCCTTAGAGCAAAAGCTGGCTGTCTGAAGACAAAGTGTTCAAACCCAGTCAAAACCACTGTCTGACTTCAGGTTAATTTAAACTTAAATAATACCCTAATATTTTCTTCAAGGTTTCCATRTCTATCACCGATTACCACGACTCATGCCTGAAAGCTGCATCCTGATTGCCATTGGAGCACTAGTAGGAGCAATCATCTTTGCCTCCCATCACAAATCTCCACCAGTGATGAACACTAGCATTTATTTCTTGTATCTCCTCCCACCCATTGTCCTGGAGGAGGGTTATTTCATGCCAACTCGCCCATTTTTTGAAAACATTGGGTCCATWCTGTGGTGGTCTGTTCTGGGAGCTCTGCTAAACTCGTTTGGGATTGGACTCTGCCTCTATGGAATCTGCCAGATCGAAGCCTTYGGCCTGAGTGACCTGAACTTGCTGCAGAACCTGCTCTTTGGCAGCATGATTTCAGCAGTGGATCCCGTGGCAGCTCTGGTGGTTTTTGAAGAAGCCTCAGTTAATGAGCAGCTTTACATGATGATCTTTGGAGAGTCATTGCTAAACGATGGCATAACGGTGGTGAGTTTCTTTCCACTCCTTGTCTTCCCCCSTTTGGACTCTCGTGGCTTGTAGGGTTACTGGGTACAGGACAGGAACAGCTCTGAGGAGATCCTAATACCTGATTTATTTTATGAATACTCCACTTGTTTACACACAAGGGGTTTTACCGTATCCAAAAACTACATCCTATATTTCCTCTTTCAAAAGCATGTCTTATAGAGCTGCTGGAAGAGGGAAACATACACATAATATGAGATTTGCTCTTGCATTCACTGAAGTGAATGGATAAGCTACAGCTGATTTTCCTTGTTGGATCAGTGTAGGACCTTGGAAAGTTCTTGACATTGTGAAAGCAAATAAGCAGAAAATAGTAKGGCTTAAAGACCGAAGGCAGCAAGGGTAGAAATACAGGAGACCCTGCTTTGTCATATACTTAAGAGAGTCCTCTGAGAAAACAAAAAAAAAAAGAAAACAAAAAAAACCCACCAAACAAAAACCCAGCAAGCCGGATGTGGACAATTTCTGGAGGCCACGCTCTGTCCTCCAGCCCCTTCTAGAAACTTCACCAGAGACCTTAGACAGAAATTCCAAATACCACTAATAATTTCACATAACTCTGTTTCAATCAGTAAAATAATTAATATCTGACAAACATTTGCCTTTTTTGGCTGTCTTGTCGTAAGTATACAGAAAAAATGTTTCCTGAATAAAAAAGATTTTGTTTGGTTGGTTGTGAGTGTTGTTTTGGGTTTTTTTTGTGGGTTTTTTTAGTTGTTGTTATTGTTTGTTGTTTTTTTCTTTTTGATAAGAATAGGGTGTTTTCACAGAGYTCCTTTGGCTAATATTTTCCCCCTTATCTCATTAGTTCTGCTAAAATTGCAGCAACCTGAAATTCTAGCTGTAAAGCAGAAGTGACAAGAACATTTAAAATACGCATGTTTTTCAAGGAAGAAATTTCAAGCAGGAAATTTATTGCTCAGAAACCAACAGGACTGCTCATGTGGCTCAAGTTAACAGCAGGTTAAGGAGTTCCAGTAGATAAGATCTTCACAGAATTTAAATCACAGGAATCTAAGCCACATAAAAACTATTCAGATACTGCCATACATGAAGTACAGCACAACTCAGACTTGTAAAATCTGTACAGAGTTCACTGCTGAAAGGGTTCATGGGAGAATTGCAGTTTATGAGTAGTGAGAAAAGAAAAAGGAACGAAGTARCTCCCTGCAGCCCCAGCCTATTGATCATAAACCCTTTCTCTTGGCAATCAGAGAAATAGGGCTGATGTAGAACTAAGGGACAAATGTTATTTAATTTACATGCCAACTATTTGGGTGCTGCAGTTGTAACAGAAAAATCCCCRATGAGTCTATCATTTACACTTATCTTTTTGGTTTATTCAGATACTGACCTCAGAAACATAATACCTTTTTCACACTGGAAGAACTTGTTTCTTGCTTTTTTTTTTGATGGGCTCACTACCTTGCCTTTCCTTTTCTCCCAGCTATTTATGATGCAGATCCAACTCACAATGGTATTTACCTGAGCATTCAGTCAGGATCCTGTTATAGGAAAACTGCAGTGACAGAAAGCCTTTCAAAGCAGTGGGATTTAGGCACGCCTCAGCAGCATTGTGTTATTAAAAGAGATGAAAGGGCTGTTCATGGGGTGTGTTGGGTACATTTCTGAGAGTTCCCATTGCCCCATATACCTCATCTGGAGCTCATCTCAGAGCAGCTGCATTGCCACTGGTTTGTCACTTCCTGCTATTGCATCTCTGCATGAACCACCACACATCCCTTTCCTGGGCATTTGAGTTTTCAGAATCTCTACCTSGATTCACACTTAAGACTGAGGTATTTGCCACTTGAATGAAGTCCAGCATTATCCCACTTTTTTCAGACTTCAAAACTGTTTATCTCAGGTGTCTTACTATTTCCTTCTCTTTCTCTCCTAAGAGTTTTATTTGAGTTAACTCTAAGTGTTTAAAAAAGATAATATCACCAAGATATATTAAGCATAGATATTTTTTTATTGTTTAAATACAAATACCCTCTGGTTCTCTCCAGCTGGCTTATCAGCTTGAACATTTTTTCCCTAGCAGGAAAAACTGGTATGRATTTTGTTGAACTTGTGTATTACATTTGAGGCAACAATAGTTCTGTCTCCTATATTTAGTTCAATATCCTGGTATAAAAATAAGTACAAAATAACAGATTGTGGCATTAGAATTATAATCTACAAGTTATGACTGTACCTTAGGGGCTGGTACTTTTTACTATTCTCCTCAGTAGGGCCAAGTCCATGGATGGAACAAGGAAGTTCCAGATCCTGTTAATTGTTTCTTTCCCCAGTTATTTCTGAGTGAACTGTTAGCATCAGAACAGTTCAGACAGCAAAGGGCTGGAACTATGATACATCATACTTTAATGGAATTTCACAGCCCTGTTCAAGAAACTGTTGTAAATCCAGTGCAGATCTTATTCAAACCTCAACTCAGGTGGAATACCCTGATTTTGCTGTGAAGTGTTTCAGGCATCTGATGCTCTGCTTCCACACATACATAAATAATTTTGTTTCTACACAGGACCTGAACACCTGTATGCATCAGGAAATGGAATATCCCTRACTGCTTCATCTCTGAGGCTTGAGTTTAGAAAATACTGTTAACGCCCATATATCATGCTGTATTGAAAATGAATGGCAGTGATAATACTCTAATGAAACCCTCTCTTCTTTGTATGCAGCAGAACAGTTAAATCTAATACATGCTGAAGACCCAAGTAAAATTATTTTTTTATTTGAGGAGATTTGAAATTGCTACAAATTGGTGTCACTGGAAAAGACTTTGACCACTGGTTTGGGTGCTAGGAAGGAGGATGGAAATATTATCTGCTCCTGCTGTAAAAGTTTTTCATTGTGCTTAGAGTAAAACTAACTACAGTGGTCAGAAAGAATTAGCAGGGTGGTAAGAAAGAAGGCAGGAATTTGTCAATCTTTTGTTCCAATGCTTCTGAAGTGGATGGTATGTGCAGTAATTGTACATAGACACCTGGATCATGGAGCAGTCCCTGGGGAGTCCCCAATGGCAGCAGTGTCACACTCTCTCTGTCACTCCCTCATCCTAAGAGCTGCCCAGGGTACAACATCCTCTCCAAACAACCCAAAGGATGATCTTGCCAGAGCTGCTACATGAGACCATTATCAATCCATCCCTCCTTTTTGTGTGAACRAAAGTCTCCTAATCTGATTCAGGCTTTCCTACTTGTAAAGAGTTCCAGTACTCTGTTTACTGGCATAAACACTGCAATGCAACTCAGCTGAGCTTTATATGTACACTTACAACAGTGCAGGTTGTTGTAGAAAAGAGTTTCCTCTCACAAAGCATGTTACAAACAAAAGAAAAGGAAATTATCTCATATTTCCATAGCTTTCATTTTGATTCCAAACCATCAAAGTTAAATCATATAGACACTTTAGGAACTAGAAAAGAGGAAAAGAGAATCTTGTTAAGTCATTTGCTGAGAATAAATTTGTTTCTTCCTAAGTCAGCATAGATTCATGCCTTGGTATCATTTGTACAGAATMACAAGTCTTGGAAAGAGGTCAAAATATGCAAGAAGGGGAAATAGAGAGAAAACAGGCTCGAAAATTAAAAGCTATATGGTAGGAACAGTGAGTTCTGCTGACTGTGGAGACATGAACTCTTTTTTCTTATCTGACAGTGAAGAGCCAAATTTCGTATACCAGCATTAGGAAAAAAGCAGTTCTAGGTATTTTCTTATATGAAATATTTGGTTTGGYTTTGTCTGTCTCTCWGAACTATTAGCAATGAGCCTCCTGKAGGACAGACTGTGTGACAGCTCAAGGTCATTTGTCCCCAGCAGCAATTTAAGATTAGATAGTAGCTGAGCAGTAATTATTATCCTAATGAGCTTGACACTTCTACCTGCAAATACCTGCTTTAGTCTTCTTAATAACCTTCTGGAATTAAGTAGATGAAGAAGAAGGACCAAAGAAAATCATAAAATGTAAATTACTTTGGTCTATTTATTGGTTTTGAACTAATGCTTTAGCTCAACGGCTTTGGAGAGCTGGTGTCTTTAGCTGTTTCCCAAATTCTCTTCAAAACTGAAAGGTGACTTTCATGTGTTACACRCTCACGGTAAACAGATCTGACAGGACTTAATATTAAATGATTGTCAGCAACCTCTAAGGCCTTTTTATTACTGCACCACTCATTACTCTGGAAATTTTCTATTGGTTTCTAATAGATGAATGGAAGTGGAAGATGCTGAAAACTTTTCATTACCGATTTTTGCAGAATAGAAATTATTGCCAATAGAAGTGTGGTAAATTTTTCTGCTCTAAACTAAAGTTATCCTTACAAACAAAACTATATAATACATTACATAAATGATAATTTGCATTAAATTCAATCTTTCTTCTAATCKGACATTATTTTCTTTCAATTGTTGTAATTTCAAGCTTTCTAGTCAAAATATGTGAAGGATCTTAAACTATTTAGAGTGCCACAGTATTTGGTCCTGACTTGGAGATTGTACTCTGGGGAGGTGGTTAAATGGCATCATACCCCAAATATATGAGGATAGAGAGACTTTATTTATCCAGCTAGGGACAATATGAAACTGAGGCTACCATCTTCCCTTCCCTTCCCTTCCCTTCCCTTCCCTTCCCTTCCCTTCCCTTCCCTTCCCTTCCCTTCCCTTCCCTTC